GTTGGTGGGGGATAGGTGTTATCCTTATGGTAGGTGTTTTGTATCCTATCTCCCCATGCAGGAGTGGCCATATACTGAAGGAACTCGGTAGAGTCGTTTTGAGATAGCTTATAGGGTTAACGATCTCGGACATGATTGTGCAAACGTGTGGGCTGTCCGGAGGTAGGAAGGACCGCGGACTGGAGGTTGAGAGTCGTATTCTAGGACCTATGCAAGCTCTGTACCCCTACTAGTTGTTAAGATGCTTTTTGGTTTTTTTCCCCGGTGTCCTCTGTATTTGTATACCCTTTCCTAGTGTGTTTGTGATTTGATTGCTGACAATATTCTGTGCATCTGTACGTAATCATTCTGTACCGAAAGCAACATGTCACTGTATTGTTATGTCTCTGCAAAACTTTAATAAAAATTACTTGATTTTAAAAAAAGAAATGCTTATTCCCTGCCAGCATGCTGCAGAGAAGACCGTTGCTCTCTGTAAGAAAGCAGTGATCTCTCTGCAGAGGTCCAACACACCTCCTGCTAAGTCTGAGCTAGAGCCTTCCAATCAGCAGGGAACATGGGCTTTGCTGATTGGAGAGCTTGGGTATGACCCAACCCAGGGGGTGTGTCAGACTTCTGCAGAGAGATCAGAGAGAATGGTAACTTGTTTTTGAATAAACAAGTGAGTCACTGGTAAGTATGCATCCAGTGATGTGTCACGACTCCTAACCTGCATACGTGTTATGGTTCTGTGATTCGACAAGTACTAAAGAAAGGATACAGATGAAATCCCCAGAGCTGGAGCCAAATAAAGACCACATTTTCATCCTAACAGGTTCACTTTAAAGCATTATGCTGTATAAATTACATTCTAACACATCCACTTTTTTCCATCGCCAAAAATATTTGTGTTACACGAACTCATGTTTCCTTGTGGATGATTTCATCTTTACGCAATTGTTTCTTCCTAATCTCCCAGTATAGTTATTAAAAAATACATTGTGCATTAAGCATAATGTCATTCTCATTTAAATGATGTCCCATTAAGCTTCTTATGTGCTAATAAACTGCATTGAATGCAGGCCAATTACGGAAGTGCCGGCTATTTATACACAATGTACCTATTATATACACTTAGATCACTATAAAGCATGTTAATTGGTAACAATATTACATTCCTGCTACGTTATATTTGGTCATTTTCAGAGTTCCTCATCACAGTGTTCTTTTGGTGCAGGAGAGATAAAATAGTAAGGATGAATGAAAGCAGCCATTCACTCCTAGAGATATCAAATGGCAATGGCTATTTCCTTTTTATAGGGTCATTCTAGCCATGCATTATTGTATAACCGCCATAGGATCTCTGCAACTGCTCAGCTAATGCAAAACTTGTGTAGCTGGAGATCTCCAGGGTCAAGCTTCCTTTTTCATAAGGCATTTTTTCTTTTTATTTATTTAACATGGGTTTTAGCTTGTATATAAGCAATGTGTACAACAAGCCTCTGTAAAGCCCCCTGGTGAGCTTCAAGCACCTTTCTTGAAGCCTTTACAGTATCCCTTAGCTCCAGTTTGGGGAGGTTAGGCACACATCCTAATCGGCATGCTGACCTGGCTGCTTGTTCAAAGTGACAGTCAGCAACTTAGGATCTGGATATAACACCCTAATACCAGATACCGATGTTATCTCTGTTAATAAGCCATTTGGTGAAACATGTTAGAGTTGGAGAAACCTGTGTTTTGTTTACCGCACGTTTTGACTTCGGGAATAAACATTGTTCAGCTTGGGATATCAATCGATTGTGCGGCAATTGTTTCTATAGAATAAGTATGAAGCCGCAGCGTGTTCTTTTTGCCTGAACCGACCAGAGGGATGGGGCTGTGTGACTATAGGACAAGTAATATGAGCAGTGGCTGCTATGTAAGTTTTACCCCAATACCAGAACTGCAGTTTTCTTTAACCACCCTACTGCTGTATTGTAAAAAATATGGATGACTGTTTCTAGAATAACGTTTAACACCGTTCCAGAAATAGCGCTCTAGCAGCTGTTGCGCCATTGGATGGCTCGGTTCACAGACAGTGTACAGAGCTAATCTGAGTGGCTCTATAGCATGTGAACACTGTGAAGACCAATCACATATGTATACAGTGCAATGTTTACATCCGAGAGCCCTCTCCTTCCTCTTAAAATAGAGGAAGGAGGAACTAATAAGGAATCAATGATCATTTATTAGCTCCTGATCCGCAAATGCAGCAGATACAGGTGTGTGTGATTGGGGGCTTGACTGTTGGATTGTTTTTTAGCCCTTTCACCTCCCCTCCCCTCCCGTACATCTGATTTGCAGCCTGTCTCTGATTTTGTATTTTAACCCCTCACCTCCCTTATACTTGTACATTATCCCTTCCCCACCTCCCTCCCTTTATGTATTGCATATGACGTGCTGTATCTGGTGCACCATTGTCAAGCTCAATGTTTTTTGAAGCCAACAAATCAGCATGAAGAAGGGATGATCAGCAATTTCAGCCTTCATATTTCACTCCTCACAGATCCACTTTCAGGGCCTTTTCACACTATCCAGTGCATTATTTGCACAGTACCGTGCCATGAACACACTGGACTGCAGAAACAAAGCCTACCCATGTTCTGGGGTTGAACTTTCGCCTGCAATGCATTGCCCACCCCAGAATGTGTAGTACCGCAATGCCCTGCATTCCAGTGTGGTACAATCACAAAAAATGGTGCATGCATGATACATGCATACACCATGCCCCCAGCGCATAGGGACGCTTTGTTTATGCGATACAGTGTGTTCATGGCACAGGACTGTGCCATGAACACACTGGATAGTGTGAACGGGTCCCTTAAAAACCTGTCAGGGGAAAGACAAACTATTTCTGACCTGCTACCGAAAATGCTAATGGGTTTGCTGGTATGCTGAATCTCTGGCTTTTAAGACTTTCCAAGCACTGACCTTGGAACAACTATGCAGATAAGGGCTCCTGACATTTTTCTGATGTGCACACTTGCTCCAGGTTGTTGACTCAGATAACACTGTGCCAAAGGGTAAGCATAATAGCCAGGCAACTAGAATTTCAGAAGGTCAGCAAAGACTTCCATTGTACCTATACAACTATGTTGTCGGTAGAATATGACTGGGGAAGAGGGGGGGTCTGATATAGACTCTGGAACTACAGCAGGGTGGTCCTGCCATGGGGTACCAAAGAGATAATACTGCAGAACAATCACTTTTAGGAGGCCTGATACTTTATTAAAACTCTCAGTATACGACAAGGATCACAGAGCTAAAGTTCACAAGAAAATTAACAGTTGGAAAATGTGTAGAGTAATTTTAATATTGCACAAGCAGGAAGGAGATAGAAGTATTCAAGATGTAAGTGGACTTAATACAAGATCATATATTTGTTTAACAGCAACTGAAACTTAGTGAGTCACCATAGCAATAATATGGCCAAATAAAGCAGAGATTTTGTTTTCATTAGGGGTTAGGAAATCCAGCAAGGTAAAGTGCAAAGAGGTGGGTGAAGTATGTATACTTTAGACGTCACATGATAAACATAAAAGAAAAGGGCGATATAAAGCCTTGAGGCTATCTTGTGAACTCAGGAGAGCTGCCAAAGCATGTGGCTGCCATTGTTTGTATTACAGTTTTTTTTATGGTCAGATAACAAACCATTAAAATATTAGATATTGTAATTACTTTACAAGCCACAAAACTACATCACCCTTTTAGCAAATGTATATGTGTGTAATGACAGAATAATGCTCTTATTATCGAGATCTATAAGATGAATCAGTGAATAGGGTTGTGGAATGTGGTTTTGGGTTAACCAGTTTGGAAATCATAGTTTCTAAGAATGTATTGTAAATCTTTATTAAAGTCAGGACTTTGTATTAATTTTCTATCTTTTTTAAAACTTATGAATAAAAAAAAAACCTGTCTTGCTTTAATAAGTAGTATATAATGTGGCAGGTAATACAACAGTGATGTATCAAGCATTAGCTTAGAGGCAGCCAAATGGAACATCAAATGTTTCTGAAGGCCAACAGTGTTTCTACATAACTTTTTATGCAGCTGTTGGGGTAGGAACGAAGGGCAATGCTATAGAGCAGGGGCCTCAAACCTCCGGCCCTCCAGCTGTGGTGGAACCTACAAATCCCATGAGGCATTGCAAGATTCTCATAGCCACAGACATGACTCGTGAAGAGAGATGCATCATGGGATTTGTAGTTTCACCACAGCTGGAAGGCCAGAGGTTTGAGACCCCTGCTATAGAGAATCACTTGAGTGATCAAGTGACAGCGTTGAGTCTGCTGAGGTTGCTGACATCACATTCAAGATGGCAGAGCTCTGCTTCAGTCTCAAGACTTTTGAAAATGTAAACAAAAGGAAGCTTTTACAGGTAATAACATGAATTAAACTTGAAATGCACATATTTATCTTATGGGAAGATTTTTGTTGAAATAGTATGGTGGCAGGGTCTGTTTAAAATGTCAGCAGTTCTCTTTAAGATGAGCAAGTCACTTTACCAATACATGTACCATTTAGATTGAGGCCCCCTTCACACTGGATACATTGCGTGGCTTTACCATCCATGTTTTTCAGAACAACGCAATGCAACAAAAACACGTGCTAACACAACATATAAAAAGCCATTACAGGGAAGTAGGTCAATTCAGGACGTTATTGAATTTCCTGAAGGGCATTTAGCGCTGTACACTTCGTTACATTACAATTCAGGACATATTACTTCACATAAAGCTTGCAAGAAAGAAATTAACAGATTGGAAGGAAATCGGAAGTTCAAATCGCAATTGCAAGTTAACGGACCCTCCATTGACCTGCGAGTACCTTCACATTTTGGTGTGAATGCACCCTAAATCTTTCCTTTTAGGCTTGTGATTTTTAATCGATCTGTACAGCTCAATTGAAGATGTTGGTACTTATCAATAAATATTAATATCCAATCAGATTTCTATAATACATGCATCTTTGTTTTACAGGTTGACTCGTATAATAGGTAAAGAACAATGCTCTCACGGCTAAGAGATATCATGTTACTAATGGCCATTTCCATTTTATGGACCAGTACCCAAGGACAGACGACCACAAATGAGGATTCTACAAGCCATCTTGCTACTGCATTCTCTAGTACCCAGTCAATTACAAGTGAAATAAATACAACCTTGCTCACTACCAGTAATCCATCAAGTGCAAGCAAGACATCTTCTGCACCCATTGCCAGTTCTGTTGCTACAAAAGTGACAACAGCTGCTGTCACTACTCTAAGTACATCCACTACAGACCTCACATCTTACACAAATGTGCATGATTCACCCCAAACAAGTTCAACGCCATATAACTCTAGTGTGTTTGACTTCCCTTTAACCACATCAGAAGTGAACACAACAGTCTCTTCCTCGGATGAATCCAGGACAACTGCTCCAGAGACCTCTACAGCAGCCAGAACTACATCTGCAAATGTCTCCAGTACAACAAAGTCCTCAGAAAATGTAACAGTCCACACCGGCAGTACTGCAAATGTCTCCACCACAACTATATCAAGTTTGACTACAGTCAAAACCACTTCTATGAATGCTTCCAGTAGCTTCACAACGCATGCCATTAGCACTACCAGCAGTACATCGGTTACTCCTTCGAACAATGTCACATTGCTTAGCACTTCTACAAAAAGAAGTACAACACTAACCACAGGATATTCTGCAACAACGAATCAAAGCGAATGGTCAGGAAATTCTAAAGGTATTACATAGGATGTCCATTGGTTTTGCATGTATTTCCTTATGGTGAGAAATAAAAACATATCATTTAAAAAAATGGGTAGGTCAGATAAATATAAAATATAGCATACATTTTTTTCCCATATTTTTGATCAAGGCAATATATGGAACACTAGTATTCTTTTCTATACAGGTGAAACTCGAAAAATTTGAATATCGTGCAAAAGTTCATTTATTTCACTAATGCAACTTAGCCGTCTACCAGGAGATTTTGGAGCACTTCATGCTTTCTTCCACAGACGAGCTCTATGGGGATGCTGACTTCATTTTCCAGCAGGACTTGGCACCTTCCCACACTGCCAAAAATGTTCTGAGATTGTGGATCTGGGTTTTCATGAGCTGTAAGCCATAATCATCACAATTATAACAAATCACAGCTTAAACTATCTTGCTTTGCATGTAATGAGTCTATCTCATATATTAGTTTCACATTTTAAGTTGCATTAGTGAAATAAATGAACTTTTGCACGATATTCTAATTTTTTGAGTTTCACCTGTATGTTACTGAGGCAGTGTTGATGAAAAAAGAAAAGTTTGCTTACAAAGCTTATTACCACACATACCCCCTTCCTCCTGCCATGTTCACACTCCTTTTACCTGAACTTTCCATTACAGAGAAAGAGAGGCCAATACATATACCTTTAACTGGGATTTGTAGACCTGCAGTGGTGCCGGTTTTGTAGTAAATGGACCTGGCAATTAGCTGATGTGGTCTTCCATGGACCCCTGCCAAATACCCTCTAACGTGCAGGTCTATAAGAGTGTACTGAATTGGAAGGACAAGGCTCCGGGATGGGGATTGCATTTTGGTGGCCCAAACACTATGTTTGGCAGATATGACTGTTTCCTATGGGTTGGACAAAGTCTGTTTCATATATCTTGGGAAGGAGTTAATAATAATTATCATTATTATTCTGCATTAAATGCTCCTTTGCATCTATTAATACAAAGGTAAATGAGGTTTAACATTGGAGCTGTGAAAGGGAAAATGTATTGTATACACTTTTATTGAAAGTCTTGTGACGAAAAAATCTGATAAAATGAGCTTCAATAAATATATTTCTCTTAATTGATTAATCATATTAGCGCTTGATCACTTTTTAGTTTACCGGTGACTGAAAAGTCATGAGTATTATATCAAGGTGGTGCTCACTGAGACTGCAGCAGTATTTACTGATCACAGTATATCATGTCGTAGGTACTAAATTATGTCAGAAGATAAAGATGTGTAATTTCTACAATGTAACACCAGCCATAAATTACTTTTTCATTTGGGATGGGCTGTGAAAGCTTTTTAATGCTCTTTTTAATGCTGTGGCTAGTTATTGCAGTCTGGGTCTCTATTAGGAAGATTTATTTCTCCCTTTCTTTCCCAGTGACCACTGTCAATGAGAGTGGGAGGGGAATTCAAACTTGAAAAAGATTCCAACTCTTTCCCAGTCTGTTTTAAAGTATTTTTCCTTTTTTTGCTTACAGATACAGAAAGCAGCACAGGAGTTGTTCTAGGTGCAATCATCGGCTCAATCTTAGGAATTGCATTAGTCTGCATAGTTGCTTATTTCTTGTGTGGATCCAAGAAAACCGGTAGCTTTTCCCACCGACGACTATATGAGGAAGCTAGGAATGAACCAGGTATGCAAGAAATTCAAATTGCAATCACTGATTTTTTTTTTCTCTTAAATGCTTATTAATACCCTCTACCAAAAGGTTTTGTGTGGGGAGAAAACCTTAATATGTGACTTAATATTGTGATCCTATTGCACAATTCCAAACATTTTAAAAATTCTACTCTTTCATCTATCCTCACACGCTTGACTTTTCTGCAATAAACATTTCTTCTTTAGTTTTTTTTTAACAAAAAAACTTCTGTTTTTTTAAATGTTGTTCATTTCACACAAACCGTAGTCTAGTGTTTCAACCTTTTCTCTCAAGATACCCAAACCTAAAATGTAAAAACATAAATGTGGTCCCTCCTAAAGATCATTAACAGACCCTTATCATAGACGGGGGTCTGGTGTAGATTTTAAGGGGGCAAAAAACAAGAAAGACAACATGGCATTTCACCCTTTCCCATCAGGAGCCCACTTTACATGATAGCACCCCCACTTAAGCGAAAATTTGAAGGCACCCCTAACAGTGTGGTATAGCCCCAGCCACTACTTTGTATGCTTAAATGTTGTACCTCCTGAACTAAACTCCTGCAAGGTATAGAAGAATACCAAAGGACTGAGGTGATCTTGAACCTCAGTAATCCATTGCAACTATTAACCTCTCATGCTCCAGAGAATCTAAAATCATTCTCTCCTTGACCCTGCGTATGCTGGAAATACGCACTGGTCTCTAATACTACCCTCTTTTCTTTACGGTACATGATGGTAGGACTCCTAACTCTTAATTGACAGAGAGAGAGACGCCAGGAGTCCGACACTGAATACCGTTCTACTACACTACCGGCTCCATTAGTTGTTCCGCAGCTGAGATTCAAACCCTGTCTGGCCAGGCCCTCACAACTATGCAAATTGTTCCAACTCCAATTAATCCCATTTTCAATATAATCTCAAAGGAAGAAAAGATTGTAGATCCTAACCTAAAAATGGCTACACATAATTAGCTTTTTCATAGATAAGATCAGAATATTGAAACAGATGTGTCAGAAAATCCATCACTGCTAAAATATGTGGCAAACCATCAGCCTAAAGTTGTTCTAAACTTTTCTATACCCCTCCTGTAAAACATCGGGGTCCAGCTACCTTTTAGGGACCCTCTCTCTTTGCAGCCATTAAATATGATGTAAAAGAAGCTTTGCATTTTCTTGTAAAAAAAAAAACTGCTCCCTTTATCACAGCAACATTTAAAAGTAGTATTTTAATAACATTTGTTGGTAAAGAATGAACAGAATTGCAGGAGCAAGTATTCAACCCAGACTGAACCGATTTGCTTGATTTAAGATATCTTCAAGTATGTGGCAGTTCATATCATACAGTTTGCATTGAGTTCATGACAACACTTGATGCTCCTCCTCGCTACTTGGGTATCATTTTTTTCCCTGTTCTTGCCTGCCATCATCTAAAATCATCCAAGTCCTATAAAACGCAATCCCCATATCATTGGAGGAGCATAGCAGTCACCATGTTCACAACTAGATCGCTTGTGCTCAGCACATCTCAATGCCATTATTAGCCACAGTCCATGCAGTCAAAGCTGCTCTCACTTGAGTGGCATTAGTCATCATTGTCCTCATCAAAGTTGCAGCTGCCAGTGTCCAGTACTGGCTATCTATAATTCTTCCCACTTATCACTATACTATAAATAGACACATGGTTTTTGTCACACTACTTCATACACAAGCAAGCAGCAGGAGTTAGGGTCAGTTTAAGTGAGTGAGGGTCAGAATTAGGGAGTAAAACTAGAAGGTCTGTCTGGGTGATTGAAGGACAGAGATGGAGAACAAAACTGGAAGGTCTAGGGATAAAGAACAGAGTTAAGGAGTGAGACTGGAATGTCCATTTAAATGACTGAGGGTCAGAGTTGGGGAGTGGAACTTGAATGTAAAGGTACAGGGTTAGTAGATTAAGAGCTAACTTGCCATTCAATACAAAAAACTTTTGCTATTGATCTTGGCTTTGATGATAAGAACTGAACTTCATTTGAATCTTTAAAAACTTTCAATGTGCTTGTTCTTTAACAATTTCCTTTTCTATTTCAGTACTACGGTTGGATAACCCTGTAAGCCCCTATGATGTCAGCTATGGGGATTCATCTTTTTACAACCCTACAGTCGTAGAAGAGGCTCCGTACAATAGACCACATGAAACCATTGTAATGGATGATATCCGTCCTCGATAATCAATGTGATATTCTCCATGGAAGCCATTTTGGAATATGTTTGGACAGATTAGATTACAGATTAAAGGAAGAATGCAAAGCACAACAAAAACATTATAGAAGTTCTATGAAAATATTCCAGATCAGTGACTATTTTCACAAAACCAGTGGTAAACAAAGAAAATGGCATTCGTTTAAATTTGCCCCCCTTTAGGCCAGTTATTTTATCTCATTAAGATATAAACTGCATGCTGTATTTAAATCAAATTTTCAATTGGTGTATTCCAAAATTTTGTAAATGGTGTGCTTCCTTTTTTTGGTAGTGTTCCCATCTAAAAGTGTTTTGTAAGCACAAGTAGTAACTGAAATTAAGGATAGTAGTTCTACACTTGCATTCTTGTGAAAGTTACATTAAATATCAAGAAAGTGGAAAATGTCCTTAAAAACCTGGACTAATCTCTGTGGAAGAATAAAAGAGGAACTGGACTGTGGAAGCTGTGCCTAAAAAAAATTATTGGCTATAAGTTTCCCGCTGCTGATCTTTTCCCCATTACTGACTAGCAATGCCTCATTCCTCAATGTGACTGTCTTGGTAGAGGTAGAGCTTTGCTTTAGTATGTTGGAGCCATTTTACCCCATGACCGCTAAACTGTTTAAAGGTGGGGTGATATTCAAGAAGTAGCAGGTGAGGTGGAGGAAGCACAGATCCACTCATTTAATGAAGGGTGGCAATGCATACACTACAGGTTCTCAAGTACAGATTTTTCTCCAGCAAGCAGGACAGTAGTGACTTTACCAAACCTTTTTTGTGTTCAGGTCAACTATAACAAAATAATTAAAAAAAGCTTGGTTGCAACATCAAAGGTCTTCAAGCAAACACAGAGTAATATCCGACTATTTACATCCATAATCTGGTGTTACTGCTATTCAGGAAAGACTAAACCTTTTTGTAGTATACAACTATTAATGTCAGAATTCCTGATCTTATTACTTGTTAGAGTTAATGAATAAGTCATACAGCCAGAGGCTGTACAGCATAGAAGCCTGAGGCTTCAGGAAAGGAAGTGTGCATATGGTATGATCCATACCATGGAGAATGTATAATTGTAAAACACAAGTTGCCTATGGGGATTGCTTTTAAGACTTTAGTTCTACTGTCTTTGGTGCAGTTATTTTACTACTACCTGTAAAAATAGTTATTTTGTTTATAAGGAAATTTACCTTAGTGTTACTTTTTTTTTTCTTCATATTTACTGTCAAAATGGTAAAATCTAGAAAATGATGCACCCTAAATACAGCTGGATACTGTTACAGGGAAAAAATTATATTGTAGTAGCTTTGTACTTTACCCTTTTCTTTTGTTTTAAAAAAGTGTATCTGCGGGGCAGTTTAACGATGGGGAGCTGGCCTTAGTTCCTTGTTAAACTCCAGGTACATACTATGCAGAAACACCCCAGAAGCCTGAAATCCTACAGTGCTCTATAAAAGAACATGGTCACCTTCTATCCATTATTAATAGTAAGTGAGGCTATGCATCCCATTGGTCAGCAATAAGAAGGTGGAATTTTCGTTATGGAGCACCCTGGGATTTTATCATACTGGGATGCTCTGCAAAGAAGCTGAAAGGTCAAACAGGCCCCTAAAATCCAGCTTACCATTGGTAAACTGCGAAAAATCTGCGAAAAAAAAATTTGATGTATGTGCGTATGTTCTTCTGTGTTGCTGCAATTGCGCTAATTGTTATGCTTTATAATAACTGCTTTAAAAAAATGTAAATCGGTAACAGATAATCTCATGATCTACTGAATTCAAGGCTTCACCTGCCTCAAGTTCCCCTTAAATAAGACATTTTGGTAGTGCAAAATTTACTTTTCCCAACACTTTGAGCCTGTGTGTGACACTGCAGCTGTCGCACACTGGCTCTATAGATTGAACCGCTGATGCTCAGCTCTGGTCTTTCTCCATGCAGAGACCATGCACTGTCAGTCACCACTCCCCACAGTGATCCCCCCCCCCCTCTGATCTTCCAGCACTGAGTGGAGGGATAGACGGGGGAGGAGGCAAGCACAGCTGAGAGAGGCAGACAGCTGTCAATCAGGCAATATGGTTGGCTCTGCGCTGTCAGAATATTCGGCTGTAGAGCCGGCGGATCGCGTGTATGGTGTGCCGAACGTCCCCCCCCCCCCCGGGACCCCCCCCCCCCCCCTGGCTGCTGGTCTCTTTCTGAAAATGCTACTTTCCTGTCTCCTGGCTTCAAGCATGCAGCTAGTGGTCAGGTCTGTCTTTATATTTGTTGTAGGTCTGTGCTCAGCAAAACAGCTAATAAGTCAGCATTTTCAAAGAGGCCAGCAACAGCAGTCCCACATGTTCTACAATGTTTTCTGGAAACCAAACAAATAAAAAAATAAACATATTGGTTCTCTGAGACCGAACGAGTTTGCTGACCTTGTATGGAAATCAAAAATTGTTTCAATGCCAGACAAATCTAGCACAGGAATGAGAACTTGTTAAATGATGCAATATAGAATACATATATTTTGTTTATACAAAACAATCTTTGTTGTCTTTGTACATGTGTAAATTAGTTTAATCTTCATAAAAACACTTTGTACATGAGGAAATGCTATAGTGTTGAAAATATGCTTATATGTTCAAATATTTATTAAACATGAATGTTCATGTTACCTTACATGTCTTTTATTCTGAGCCATTCATGTGATTTTAATTTTGAAAATTGTAAGGTTATGCACAAGGGAGTAAAGAACATGTGTGCAAACTACTACTTGGTGTTACTTTAGGGAAGTCGGACATAGAAAAAGTACCTGGGGGTACTCATAGACCACAGATTTGACAATAGTAGGCAATGCCAAGCAGCAGCCAGCAAAACTAACAAGATACTGCAGTGTAAAAAAAAAAAAGAGGCATTGTAGCAAGGGATCAAAGAGTAATACTTCTACTTTATAAATCATTGGTTCGGCCCCATCTTGAGTATGTGGTACAATTCTGGTGGCTGACTCTCAGGAGTGACGTCCTAGAACTGGAGAGAGTTCAGCGAAGGGCTACAAAATTAGTTAAAGGGATTGAAGGCCTATGCTATGAAGACCGCATTCAAAATCTTAACTTATTCACCTTAGAAGAGAGGCAATTAAGAGGGGACCTTATTGCAGTCTTCAAAATTGTCAATGGAGAGCACAATATTAGGAACAAACTGTTTAATCCCAAAACTCTATTGAGAACTTGGGCACACAACAAGAGGTTAGAAGAGAGGGGGTTCAATCTTAGAATTTGCAAGGGATATTTCACTGTGAGAGTAGTGAAGTTTGGAATTCACCTCCACAGGTTGAGGTATCTGCGGATAACTTTGATAAATTCAAGACATTTCTGGATGAGTTTCTTCTTTCTCAGAATCTACAGGGATATGGGAAGTGTTTAGAGCACGATAAATGCACACACGCACACACACGCACACACACACACACACACACACACACACACACACACACACACATTGAACTGGATGGACCTTGGTCTTTATTCAACCTTGCATACTATGTTACTATCTAGGAGAAACTGAAGAAATGCTCATAACACCTATACAGTACAGTATGTGTGTTTCTGGTAGAAAAAACTGCAGTAAGAGGGTCGTACAACACATTGTTTGTTTGCTATACAAAGGCAGACTGGAGAGCCTAAAGTGTATTTCCAGCTTTGCAGCCAACTTGTGAGAACATCTATTTTATATTTATTACAGGTTGCTCATTCACATGGCAAACATAATTGTTTTTCATTGCTGCTTACACAATACACACTCTATTTTGAAAGAAAAGTTGTTATCTGTACTACGTTTTGCTCTGGAATACACAGGGATCTGGGTCGGGTAATGTTAAAGCAGAACTCTGGGCACACATTTTATGAACTGTTTCAGTTAGGCTACCCTCACAGTGCAAGGGTTAACTGCTAATTTGTGTCTAGGTTAAAAAAAAAGTTAGTCACCTGATCTTTAGAGCCAGCAGGCAGTCACAGTGCTCACTGCTGCCTGTCTTCCCCCTATACTGCAGTGATGGTATATCTCTTGGCGTCCTCATGTCTGATACACAGTGTATAGAATGTACTAACCCAGAGACCTTAGACTGCTGCAGCACAGGGAGAGAGAGGTGGATGGGACCAGTCTAAAGGTGCCCATACACCTTACGACCATCGCAATACTTTTGTCTTGCGATGGTCGTAAGCTTATTAAAAGCTCATACGATCTGCCCATCTTGGACAGGCAGATCATACTTGCGATCATCGAAATGACCGATGACCGCAGTGAGGGGCGGGCTTCCGATCACTGCAAACGGGCAGTGTGCGCACACCGCCCATTTGGCAGTTATCGAACAAGCAGGCCACTAACCCGCCGAGAATTGTACGTTTCCTGGTGGGTTTTCAAGCCTGCTTGTTCGACGTAAGACGTGCGACCGTACAGCACGCCTTCCACACTGTACAATTATCGTACGATCGCGGGATTTCCCGCGATTCTCGTACGAGAATTGTACAGTGTATGGGCACCTTAAGAGATGACCAGCTCTGTGAATCAGGTGAGTATAACTTTATTTTCCTATCTAGATACAAATGAGCACTCAACCCTTGCGGTGCAGGGGTAGCCCCATTGCAAGGGTTAATACAATGTGTGCCCTGAGTTCAACTTTACTATAATTTAATCCTGTCTAGATTAGAACAGACTGAGTTTCCTGTCACTTGGAAATTGTGAAATAAGCTTGCAAAGGTCTGCTACACAGACACATCTAAAACCTAAAACATTATGCTGTGCGAAGTGGAACACACAAACATATACAGGTCTATTCACTAAAGGCGTGGAGTATGGAGAAGGCCAGAAGTGAAGAATCTAGGATAACATACACTATATTGCCAAAAGTATTGGGACGCCCCTCCAAATCATTGTATGCAGGTGTTCCAATCACCTCCATGGCCACATATAGAAAATCAAGCACCTAGGCATGCAGACTGCTACTACAAACATTTGTGAAAGAATGGGTCACTCTCAGGAGCTCAGTGAGTTCAAGCGTGGTACTGTGATAGGTTGCCACCTGTGCAATAAGTCCATCCGTGAAATGTCCTTGCTACTAAATATTCCACGGTCAGCTGTTAGTGGTATTATAACAAAGTGGAAGCAACTGGGAACAGTATGTTAGTGGTTTTCAGAGGTATTGTTCTGTAATCGGAGAGCTTGCTCTATTGGCACCTTTCACATGGCATTCTGATCACGTCCTTCTGTTAGTTTTACAGGAGACTCGATGTAAGGGATGGATCAGAGGTAAATGGACATATACGCCTACATCCATCCTACAGCCCATAGAGCTAACACGGGCCCAGTTTGCTTCGTTTTATCGCAAGATGGAAAAAAAAAACTCAACAGGCACGGATGTCAGAAGAGTGACATCTGTTCTTTATTGCTCCAATCAGCACGGATCCCCTGCTGATCAGGGCAAACACCATTCATGTGAAAGGGGCATTAAAGTCCCACACGCATGTTTTTCTACATTATTGTGATGTGGTGCCTTAATCGCTCATTAGTCAGACTTTATTTATAAGGTAATCTCAGAGATGGGAATTCATTGGTCATCTGGTGGTAGAGCCCAAAATGATAGTATTTATTTCAATAATTTTTATTGAGTATTTAGACATAACGGGTACTCAAACAAATAAGGCACAGAGAAGTATCGTCAGAGGAAATCGTTACAAGTATAACATCAGCCAATCAGGATACAGTGCAATCACTAGAAGTACAGGGATCAGTGTAAACAGTAAGGCCTGATCTAGTGAGGTAATGTGAGCACCTCAGGGAGGAAAATTATAGTATTTAAAAAAGTTAATACTTAGTGCAGAATTATAAACCTTACTATAATTATTGTTCTCATTATTGTTCTCTTTCTTGACAAAGTACCAGCATATCATGCAACATTGACATTTGGGTAATACAAAGGTAAAATTTACACAGGAGGAGAAGAGGAAGTAGCTTGATTGAACTTACAATTTGAGTTTGAGGAACTAGATACAACTGACAAAGAAGATAGCAGCGGCTGAAGGTCAAGAGAGGCTGTCACCATTAAATTGTAGGTAAAAAAGTACATTAAATCAAGTTGCCAACCCCTGCTATAAAGTATCACTTAGTAAAAGCTCTGAGTCTGTGGACATCACATCCAGGATGTTGGCACCCAACAGCAGTCTTGTGGGTTTTGGATGTCTGCACAAGGGAGTCTTTTACAGGTAAACAACATGCGTAAAATACATTTCATTAAAATATAATTTAATGGGAAAATGTTTGCTGAATGGTAATGTGACAGGGTCTCTTTAAGCAAGTATTGAAAACTTTGGATTACAGAGAGGCAGCAGAAGTGTTGAGAGGAATGAATACATCTTGCATTTATGATAGAAACAACAGTCTTCTTACTGAAACAATGATGTTGCAGTAATCATGAAAATTTATAAGGAAGAGAACTAGAATGTTGATGAAAGGGACATACTTAAAAGATGAGTGTGTAAGGGGCTAAGTCAGAAAAGTTGACCCAACTGACATTGATATCTACAATTACAGTATAGATAAGCCAATGCTTAGGTGTATTGCTTGTACATTAAGTAAACATTTGCCAACAACATGCTATATATACTGTATATATTGTGATGCTTGGATGCAGCAGCTTTAGTAGTTGAATTAATATTGATATTTCTATATAATGTTGTAGCTATTATTGGAATTCATAAATATTCATTTTTTTTCTCAACTGAGCAAACAGCCAGGCAGGTTATATTATGATAATAAATGCAAAAAAAGATAAAGATAAAATTGCCTGAAATTATTCACCGCTTGTGTTTTTCCAACTATTCAGAGCTCAAAGAAGTACAGAGAAATTACAAAATATGCTTCCTCTTCACAGGCAATATGTAGTGATTCATAGCTTAATGTTGGTTAAGCAATTAACACTGTTATAGAAGATCCCACTCAACACCAGTATGGATGATAGTCAAAATAAGGGAGCCTAAATTAAAGTTTCAGTTTGCTTGTTTTCCTCATCTCTTATGTATGTGTGTAAAATTATTAGACTTGCTATGCTGCAAGCTCATCCCTGCCATCTGGATGATATTCAGCACTGTGATGAGGTCATGCTGCAGCTGCACACCTGACCTCATTCAGAAGTGCTTAACTTGACTAGAACATTTAGTTATTGCCCAATCAAAAGTTGGTGTTACTACTGACTCACTGCTTTTGGATCTCTTATAAGTTACAATGTGGACTTTTCTTGGTACCCTCTTTTGATTACTACCTGTCCTGAACTTCAGCTTGCCTCTGACTATACCTGTCTGCTGTCAGCCCCAACCTCTAGTTTGTTCCATTTTGGTTCTGCTTGCACTAGTCTTCTGTTAATGTTTTGGCAATCTCACTATTCAGGTGTCACTATTTGATGAAGCAAGCTTGCAGAGAAGCATCTGCACCTACTGCAGCTCAGGGGAAGACCTGAAACACTAGATGTGCACTTTAGGGAGAAATAGAAAAAAATAAATTAGGAGTTAACCTTGCAGCATGTGATTTTACCAGTGTCTGTTATGAAATGGTTTGTATACTTGTAAATCAATAACCTAATATCGGGCAATGAGAAATTGTAAATGAATCATAAGGGAGACAGGCTTTGTCTATTGAAGTCACTGATTGACGTCAGTTGATGATAAAGGTGAGTGGCAATGAAGGCAACGGTGATCTCCTTTAGGTTAGATTTAATGAGGTTTGTTCTGTATGAGTTTATCACTTGTTCAACAAACTCTATTATACTTTAAATACCCTTTTAATACTCACAACCCTTTAAGTCTTCTAAATGTGGATGTAAACCTAGATGCCATGGCTTAAACAGCATGTTGTTCCAAATGGTGTAGCAGCTGGTGGATGGAACCAAAGTGACAAGTGATGGACTAGGCATCCAAAACTTCTGGAGGTGCAGAAGATTATTTAGCCAATGTAGCTCATCAAGTGAGCAAAGATTTGAGGCACAGGCAGCGGGACAGGTAAGCATTATACCACTTTTTTACAGGATTTTTGTTTTTCCATTCCTGAGATCAAGTGAAATATGTCTGCGGCATCTAGCAGGTATTGATGGTGCAGAAGCATATGGGATATAATGCCTACTAGATCCTTGTTTGTAATCACCCATAAAGGAAACCTAGGCTGCCATTGCTGCACTCCCCCTGAATTTTAGTTCACTGGCTACCGTGCTGACCCTCTTGCTTCAACACCTTGAGCCACTGATGTGGAACAAGTAGATGGATAAGGAAATCTGACTTTGCCTTGATCCCACTTGATGTCTGCTTGTTCAAGGTCAGTAATAGTAGGAATTACTACAATATTGAAGACAGAGATATCCATGGAAGTAGCAGTTTAATAGCAAAGGCACATTTATTTCATTCTATAAGAACTATAACTAACATCTATAATATTTAGTGCATTCTATAAGAACTTACCTATAGAAAAGATTAAAAACTACTCTAGCTTTCCTGATTTGCATATTTGAGTTAATTCAGTAGCTCAGAAAGTACTAAAGCCAGTGGATTAGCATAACAGCCAGGCAACACTGAGACAGCACTCAGTTTTTATCTTCTGACAAGTTTACTTTAATAAAACACTGACTGATTTATATGGGCACTTACATTATGTACAGAAACAAAGCAGATCAGCTTTGAGTGTATCTTCAGTTTAAAACAATTATGGCAATGAAAGATAAGGTCTGATTGCACACCGTCCTGATTGCTGGACTTTGCACAGCGTGCATTACCTATTTAAAGGGAACCTGTCAGGATAGGAGACTGCTATTGCTGATCACTGAAAATGCTAGGGTTAGATATTCAAGGTTTATTTATAGTCAGTGTTTCTTTTGTCCCCACTGGGGAGATTTCCCTTGACTTCCTGCCTGATGGCCACAACAAAATGTGAGAGCAGATCCTTCCAGTGGCATCACAAGGGGGGTGCGGCCCGCACTGGGTGACACCATTGCAGGGGTTGACATCAAAATGACTGACAACCTCTTAAATTCAGGCACTTGGTCATGGATCGAGAGCCCGACAGCTGAACAAGAGAGGAGGGGACCCGACGGCATACCTTATCCCACCGTGTAAACGTCCCCTCTTCTCTTTGCCGGCGCCCTTCACTAAAAGTGCCATCGCCGGCGCCCATCACTAAAAGGGCCACTTTCAGGTAAGCGCACGCAAAACATCATCACTCGCGCGTGTGTGATGATGTTGTGCGAGATGATGTCACGCACATGCCTGATGATGTCCTAGCAGGCTGTCACCCGGTGGCCGCTTCGGGTGACACCATGCCCAGGGATGCCCCTGGATTCTTCCAAAGTGAGGGAAGAGGGTCACCTTAAACTAGTGTCTCCATTGGAAGATTTTCCCTCTATTCCTGTTCTTGTGACTGCACAAAATGTGGGACTTTCAATGATATGGATCATCAAAGAGAGGGGGAGAATCTCCCTTATGGGAGCACAAACAGCAATAAACACCTGATGGGTGTTCCTCTCTACTCTATCCAAATAAAAACAAAATGGCTTCACTTGCACTTTGAAGCATTGGCTCTTTATAGCAGATATCTATCATTTTAAGAAGGAGTTTAGCAATGACATCCCTCATTTTTTCCATGGCAGGTTTACTTTAATGCCGGAGCAGAAAGTGTTTTATTCTACAGACCGTAATGAACAGTAGGGGGAGCAGCTGTGCTATTTAATCACATTTGCTACATTATATACAGAGAGGAAATATTCCTCATAATAACCTATAAGGTGGTTAATGTGCACAGTACAGAATATTTACTCACCCCATATGGCCATAAATATAGCAAAGAACACTGTGCCCCCATTGTCAAATAAGTGAGTGACCTGGGAAAAGAAAAAGACAAATGTTGTCACCTCGTATTGTGCCCTGTGCTTTTAGTATCAAAATATATAGTTCTTTGTTGAAAGCTATGACAGACTGTCTCACATATATAATTTCATTTCAAAGTAGTATTTGTTCTAGCAGACATGGTACATTTTGACATATTGTACTTTCCTCCTTTGTAATAAAGTTCAGTTCAAGGTAGATTTTGGAACAAATATTTTAAAAATCTATTCAAGGTTCTAGCTTTTGATGCCAATGTTTAAGAGATGATATGGGGGGATTACAATGAAAACAATTAGTTTTATAATTTGAAATTACTGTTGTGAACTGAAAACAAAACCATCAATAATTAAAAATCATCATTCCATAACAACCGTAGATTGCCCTTTGATCCTCTACAGCAGTGGTTCTCAATCTTTCTAGGGCCGGGACCCCTTGGTAACATTTGCCAAGTTGTGGTGACCCCCAACGGTAAAATTTAGGGTTGACGCAGCTGCTGCAGCGACATCTGGCGGCGTGGCGGGAGAACTGACACTGCTGCGCTAGGAGAGGGCTGAGGAGGACTCTCACCGAGCACAGCAGAAATCACACAGCGACCCACAGGTTGAGAACCACTGTTGTAACAGCTAAAATTCCTGTGTGTGTGTGTTGTAAAGTAGAAGCAGAGACACCGGCACTCCAGATTTGCAAAATACGTCTATTTATTGACGTGCATCATGGTTAGCAAACAACGAAACGTTTCGAGGGTGCAAAGGATCCCCTTCATCAGGTGTTGTGTGTTGTAAAGTAGCCACCGCTCCAAGCTCACTCCCAGGACGGACTACAATCTCAATACAAATTTGTTAACTAAACTTGAGATTGTAGTTCATCACGGGGGCGAGGTTGGAGCGGTGACTTTGCAACACACACAGGGACCATGGGGAACAAAAGTAGTCACCCTCCAGAAGGAAGGACGGTATCAATGGCACTTGAGAAATTATTTGAGGATTCACAGCTGAGTGATACACAAATAAGATACATTTTTATATAGTTAGGGCACTGAAATGCATTTTTACGATTTAACTCATGAGTTTAGTGTCATTTGAAGTATGCTGCGCAAAACACACTCAGCACACATCGATTACCTACTGCTTTAAAGAAGATGTCCAGGAAGAGACTTAAGTGCTTGTTTTGTATAGGAGAGTCAAATAAAGCAGTTTTGATCACCTAATCTTCAGTATGTGCTCACTTATCTTCCCCTCTGCTCTGGCAGTGAAATGGACCTGTATTAGACGCAGTTAAGTCAGTGGTCCATAGATCGCTGGAGCCCAGAGGAGATGAACCGGTGGAGACCAGTCCTGGAGCCCTGGCAGGACAGAGGATCAGGTGAGTACACTATCTGCTTTATTTGACTCCTCTTTTTAAACTGCCTGGAGTTATTCTTCAACTGAGATTTTAGTGACTGAGTTTAGGTCTCCCGAGAAGATTAAGAACATCAGATAAGGTAGAGAAACAGACAATAAGACAACTAATTAGTGCACAGATTTATGTAGAGGATGCAAAAAAATCATAGTATGCACTGTTTCACATTATCTAGTAGGGCGAGATATCATGAAGCATTATATAAGAAATGATAACTGGGTGGATGGTAAAAGGAGAAGTTCTCCTTGATGACTCTATTTTAATTATTACGATAGATTAAATGATATATGGCACAGGTCATTAAGGTTTTAGAATGTGTCCAAACTGCTGACTGTTCAACAAAGCATAATTCTTAATTATCTATTTAATAGCTTCCCGGATTCCATAATGTTCATAAATGTATGTAGTCATCATAAATTTGTAACAAGGGATGGAGGATGGGGAACGTATTGTTACCAGCAGCCCACGCTGCAGCTAATGGGCTCTCTAGAATGGCCTAAATCGTGATTTATTCCACAGTATCAACATTGCTGTAGATGTTGTTGGTCCTAACTTTACTGAAACATGTATCAGTTAGATTAGGGATTTCTAAACTTTGTAATCCGAGGACCCAAATGAGATATTGCTACGTCACTGTATTGGGACTCAAAAAAAGACTTTTTACCAATATGTCAGCATTTGGTGAATGAGTAGGGGTAACAACCACCCCTTACTCATTCACAAGGGTGGTGGCATCTGGGTGCCCCCTTTATGAGCAAGGCTCCTAGGTGCTTTCTATGCAATAATGGTATCATGCTGATACTCATTGCCATTTAAGATCACACATGAAGATTGTGTATTCCTTATTTCATGAAGGATTAAAGGAGAACTATGGGGTCAGTGTTTTTCCCCATAGTTCTCCTTAGGGTAACGGGAGGACACAAACTAGCGTCCTCCCGTTACCCTAAGCTCAGTATAGTGCGAGCTACGGCTCGCGCTATACTGAGTCGCCGCAGCCGGAGCGGATCCCGACTTAGATGACGGGATCCGCCCAGCTGCGTGAGTGACAGCTGGCTCTGCCTATCTAGAGGCAGAGCCAGCTGTACCCGCCCCCTACCCCGTCCGTTCCGCCAGTCAGCGCTGGCAGATCGAAGCGGGGAGAGGGGAATCCAGCCCCTCCCCCCTGTATGTGTTCGCTCACCTCCCGATCTACTGAGCCGACCTGTGACAGTCTCATTGTCACAGGTCGGCTAGAACTATGAGGTGAGTGAAAAGCACTCACCTCATAGTTCTCCTTTAAGCTAAATTATAAAACAAGATGTTGTTTGTATCTTAAAGGGGCAGATCGTACCTTGGCATATATACAGCTCTCATTCAGTCTCTGTAGTGTGCAGTTCTTCTCACACATAGGACACATGATGATGTCATTTGCCTCGCAGATCTCTTGACTTAGAGAGAAAAACAAATACATATTCAGATAGTTTCTCAAAGTCATGTAAAATGCTGTTGATTTATTATAGGTTGGAGCTCATGCATGTAAATTCCAAAATCAGGCAACCGTGTTATGCCATATCATTGGCTACAATAGAACCAAGAGTGATTACAAAGGCCAGCTAACTGCATATGTTCATTAGGAGGTAACTGCTGCTATAAATTCACAAGTATGTATTAATAAGATACCAGGGTTATCACAATTTGTGATAGGGCCTCAAAGCAAAACAATTGAAGCCCAACTTTGCAATTGCAATTATTGGGTTTAGTCAGATATACACAGACTGTCAACAAGCATGCAGGCATTGCTAGGTTTCTTATAAGAAAGGTCAACATGCCTTGCAAAGTCAACATAATGAAAACACTCAAACTAGGCATCGCAGAAGCACCCAGATTGAAGTACCCAGGCCAAAATCAGACATCCAGGTTATGCCAGGACACTGGCTACTTAGAACCAGTGGCAGCCAAATGGCCAGTGTCCCCACTGCAACTAACTGCAATGTTCATAATTTGCATGGCTCAATTAGCTGTTGAATGCTCCTATCAATTCATGTATATGCAGTCATAACATACTGGGGCCATCACAATGTGTGATGGGGCTCCATAGCAAAATCATTAAAGCCCAACTCAAGCATTGCAATGTTCTGGCTTATAAGAAAGCTCAGCATGCCTTGCAAATTGCATGAACATCACGGAAGCACCCATGTTTAATTGTAAAAAAAAAGTTTATATTCATAAAACATCAGTTTATTAACGTGTAAGCTTTAAAAAAAAAGAAGAAGAAGAAGAATAACAGCAATAATGAATCCGAATGTATCCGAATGTTTGATAATTAAATTCGGATACATACAAATTTATTTTGGAATCAAACACAAGCGGGAGAGCTGTCATTTACCGCCCTCTGGCTTCTCTGCTTGTATCCTGAATGAAAACAAAGTAACACAATATTGTTACAAAATGTAAAGAAAGAAATAAGATATGAGATCTGTGTTTTTCTGTAAAAGCTTTGGCTTCTTTGCTGACAAAGAATCAGACAGCTGTCACAGAATAAATGAAAGTGTTCTGGTAGGGATGTTAGGAGGGACCCTGATCTGGTAGGAATTTTAAGATGGAACACCAACACCAAAAAAAAAAAGTGTGGTCCAGCTAAAATTCCATACCAGACCTTTAATCTGGGCAGCAGCCTGGCAAGGCAGGAAAGGGGGGCCCTTGCTTCCTCCACCATACCCGGCCACATGCCCTTGGCATTGGGATGTTGTTTATCCAGACGTGGACCCCCTGGAAAAGCACCATGTCCCCATGCCGATGGGGACAAGGGCCTCTTCCCCACAACCCTGGCCCAGTGGTTGTGGGGGTCTGCAGGTATGGGCACTCATCTGCATCTGGGAACCCCTTTTATAAAGGAGCACCCAAATGCCACCCTCCCCCCTTGTGACTGAGTAAGGGGTACTTGCACTCCTACTCATTCACTACAGAGTTATAAAAAATTTAAATAAACACACAAAACCTTAGACAAATTCATTTAACCCCTTCATGACTGAGGCCCTTTTTTCATTTTTTGCACCCATGTTATATTCCACAATTTAGGCCTGAAAATGACTTTCCAATGCAATGTTTACATCGGGCAGTGGGCAGAAATAAACAAAGCCTCTGCAGGAGCAATAGCTATTCTCCTATTGGCTATTTTAAATTGCAATAGCCAATAGAAGGCTGGCTATTGCTCTGCCCACTGCCAAGATCAAGTTCTCTCCCAGGTCCGCTCCTCTGTTGATTGACAGAAGGCAGGTGGCAGAGCAAAAGCCAGCCTGCTATTGGTTATTGCAATTTAAAATAGCCAATAGCAGGCTTTGTTTATTTCTGCTCACTGCCCAATGCAAACATTGCATCGGGGAGTTTTATTCATTTTTTTTTCATTTGTCGGCCGATGCTGGAATGACTGAGATAATTTTTTTTTACATTTTGTATGAATAAAAGAATTGTCAAAAATGTGTATTGTGTTTTCTATTCAATTAACTCCTTACTCATTCACAAGGGGGGCGGCATCTGGGTACCAAGATGCAGATGAGCCCCCCTGCCCGCAGATTCCCACAACCACCAGACCAGGGCTGCCACCCCCCCCCCCCCTTATCCCCCCCCGGAAACACCCCCTCGCATCCCGCG